CTCCCCCATCTCCCAAGGCAGGGCCCAGGACTGGCAGAGCCTGCCCCTCACCTCCCCCACACCCACAGGAAACCCCTGCTGGTCCAGGCTGAGAACTTTACACTGTTCATCAAAAACACTGTCACTTTCAGCAAGTTCAACTTCTCCAAGTAAGTGTGGGTGGGTCCTGACAGGCCCAGATCCTCCTTATCACCATCCTGGCCTGACCTTCCCTTTCTCCACCCCTCGAAGGTCCAACAACTTGCAGACCTGGGACAACACCTATTTCCAGCGCTGCCGATATGATCCCCTCTCCAGCCCCTACTGCCCGGTGTTCCGCATTGGGGACCTCGTGGCTGCAGCTGGAGGTGTCTTTGAGGACTTGGCATTGCTGGTGGGTCTGTGGGGGGCATGGTTCTGGGAGGATTCAGGGAAGGGTCCAAGCTCATGTGACAGTGGAACGTTGATGTGCTGTGTGCAGGGTGGTGCTATAGGCATCCGAGTCCTTTGGGATTGCAACCTGGACACCGGGGGCTCTGACTGCCAACCCCACTACTCCTTCCAGCTGCAGGAGAGGAGCTACAATTTCAGGTGCCACCACCACAGCCCCCAGTCCCCAAATGTTGCTCTTCAACCAGGTCCACCTTCACCTGTCTTTCTGTGGTGGTCAGGACAGACCCACCCCAGCCCAGCCCTCTGGATGCTCTGCTCTGTGCAAGAGGGGGCGGTCCCGGGAGCAGGATGGGGCATTTTCAGCTGCAGGTCCCCCTGCACAGGCTCCGTCCAGCCTCCCTCCTGAGCTCTTCCCCTTTTACCCCGTCTGTCCCCACACTCTATGTTATATTTGGGACCCCTTACCTCCATCCTCTCCTCCACCTCATGCTGCCTCCAGCATCTCCACAGCACAGGGGGCTTTTCTTACTTTTCCCTTAAGATTTAAAAAAATTGTTTTAAATCTATAGAAAAATTCAAAGATTAGTACCATGAACACCCATATACTCTTCATCTGGATTCGCCAGGTTTTTAAAATTTTTTTACCATTTTGCCACATTTGCTTCTTTCTCCCTCTCTAGAGTGAGCCAGATAGACTTAGATAGATTTCAAATGCAGCCATTGAAAAGTAAGTGTCAGACATCCAGAGGCTCGACCCTTTCAATACTGTGCTGAGAATGAGGACCTTCCCCAAGGGACCACTGACCTGTTGTCACACTCAAGAAATTTGACACCCAGCTGGTGTGGCTCAGTGGTTGAGCGTCGACCCATGCACCAAGAAGTCACCAGTTCAATTCCCAGTCAGGGCACATGCCCAGGTTGTGGGCCTGATCCCCAGTGGGGGGAATGCAGGAGACGGCCAATAGATATTCTCTCTCATTGATGTCTCTATCTCTCTACCTTCCTCTCTCTTAAAATCAATAAAGAAAAAATATTTAAAAAATAAATTAACATTGGCAGAATAAATCTCATATTCAAATTTCCCCAACTGTGCCAATAACAGTCCTAAATCTTTTTATTTTTTTAATCAGGATGCACTCAAGGACCTTGCATGCCATTTACTGTCATGTCTTTGTCTCCTAAGCAGACCTTCTTGCCCCTGCCCAGAATCCTTCTGCCACCTCAGGTCACCTTCTCACTTGCTCACAGACATATGTGCACATAGCCACCGAGCCTGCAGGTGGCGCTCCTGACACTGCTGCTTGGCCTGGTTTCACTGACCTCCCCAGTCCTTTGCAACTATATGGGGCTGGCTCCCTGCCCACACCCTGCTCCCCTCACCTCTGTGCTCTCACTGGTCCTACTTTCTCTGCCTCGAACTCCTTCCTGAACCCTGGAAAACCAGCCTGAAAGTCTCCCCTGCAGGAAGCCTTTCCTCGTTTCTAAGGGGGAGTGTTTCCCCCTCTCAACGCTCACAACCCTGGTCTAACCCCACTCACCCCCCGCCACTCCCCTGCCCCTGCCAGTGTCTGTTTAGAGACTTTTCTCTCCCTGGCCCTTCAGGAGGCAGGGAGCTTCTGAGAGGCAGGTCCTGGTTTGCTTTCCCCCCTGTGTCTTCAGCAATGACACAGAGCTGAGACCCAGGATTTGTGCTGGGACTGAAGCTTGATGGAGTCAATGGATGAGCATGACGGAGGCCTGGGAGGGCCAGTCCAGCCTGGGAGTGGGCAGAGCAGGCCACCAGACTTTCTCTTTCCCACAGGACAGCCACTTACTGGTGGGAAGCCTCAGGTGTGGAGGCCCGGAGCCTGCTTAAGCTCTATGGGATTCGCTTCGACATCCTCGTTACTGGGCAGGTAGAAGGGGTCAGGTGGGGTGGGATGGAGGTGACAACCATGGCCAGAGAGGCTCAGTCCAGGCATCTCTCAGGCAGGGAAATTTGGGCTCATCCCCACGATCATCACTTTGGGTACTGGAGCAGCTTGGCTGGGCATGGTGAGTGTGGCCAATGTGGGCTTCCTCTCGCTGCAGACAGAGCATTCCCAGACCCGTCTGCATGAACACTGAGCCCCCTCTGCCCACTGTTAAGTCTCTGAGTGAGGGTTGGGGAGGTGGCAGGAAGGCAGGATGATCCAACCTACCAGGACCCTGCCTTTCCAGATTACCTTCTTCTGTGACCTGCTGCTGCTGTATGTAGATGGAGAAGCCCATTTCTACTGGACAACCAAGTATGAGGAGGTGAGCTGTGGGCCTGCTCTACCACCAGTTGTTGCTACACTTGGAGGATGTGGCCAGAGCCCTGACCTAATGTCCTTATCTGCAGGCAAAGGCCCCGAAGGTGACTGCCAGCCCTGAGCAGACAGAGCCAGCCTCCGCACCCTCGAATCCAGCTGCCCAGGTGCCTTAAGGGGAGTCTAGCACCTGCCCCCATGGTGACTGCTGCTGCTGGGAGCCAGACACTAATGCCAGGGGTGGCCCTACTCCCGTTCTGGTTCCTACTTGCTGGCCCATTCTTGAGGCCTGTAACCATTTCCTATGCCTGGAAAGGGTGGGGCTCCACCTTGGGGACTTCATGGATAAAGCCACTGCAGAACCAGGGTAGGCATTGGGGGGGGGGATTCTACCTTTAACTCCCAGGCAGATTGTCCCTCCCCTGACTCCAGCCTTGGTGGGTGCTGCCTGGGGAGTAACAGAAGCAAGTTTTGCATAGAGATCTGCAGTGGAACGGGAGCCATGGAGAAGGAGAGAGCCCTGGGCACCACATGGCAGGGCACTGGTCCAGTAGGGCTCCTGCTATGTCTGTGTCTAGAGCTCTTAATCCCTGTCCCCAGTGTTCTCAGCAGCAGCCCACTCACCAGCTGTCAGCACTGACTGTAGCCAACCCCAGCCCTGCCTGGCTTCTAGCCCTTCTCCCGCTGCCAGCACCCCCATCACAGGTAGATCCCCCACCCTCTCACCTGTGCTGCACTGGGGGCTGTGTGACCAGAGTCCACAGCAAGGTAGAAGGAGGTCTGATGAGACGGTCTGTCTCAGCTGCTTTGGTGCTGGGTTGCTGGGAGCAAGTCCCACTTAGACTTGGGCCTCATCCATGGAATGGGGAGTGCAGTGGGTGATGATCCAACCTACCAGGACCTCAGGCAAGGGCACAGGCACCGCTTGGGCCCATACCTGCTCAACTTATGATCACCGGCGTCTTTGTGACCTATATGCCTCCTTGATGACCCCTCAATTCCAGCCCCCTAGAACTTGCTTACTGGGCTCGCTGGGGGTGGGGAGAATGTACATCTGAAATTCAGTCTTGCCCAATGTCATACCTAAAAACCTGTCTGGGCAGCTGCATACAGAGGGCCTTGACTATGACAGGTGAAGCTTAGTGGCTAAAGGAATATCCCTAACAAAAGACCCAGAAGCCCCAGAAGGTTGGCTTGGTTTTTGGCTCTGTAATCCTTTGGGGGTCTGTGTCTTGCCTACAGGAGAATTTCCCCAGGTTTGGGAGATCCACAGTCAGGAGGAGAGGGATAGAGGCTACAGGAGTCAAACTCTCTTTTAGTCCCACGGCAGGGGCAGGGATTTGGGAATACTCACCCCAGGAAGGTGAGGGGTTGCTTTTTCATAGGTCCCTGGTGACCAGGGGCATGCTAGCAACTTGCCAATGGACTGACATGGGGTATTTGGGCAGGGCTGGGATGGGGCCAGCATCTGGAGCCTCAACAGAACCTTGGGTCCCTGTTGCCTTCCAATCCCCAGAGCAGTGTGTATGGGAAGGCAGGTTCAGAAGGGCCAGGATGAGAGAACATGGCCATGAGGTCTGGTTATTGGAGCAGGGTCACATGTACCTGGTTGTCCTCAGAGCCCAGAGAAAACCAATGACATGGCTGCAAGAAGTCGAGAAGTAAAGCCTGCCAAAGCCAGCAGCCTCCTGTGTGGTCCTTACAGGCAGGGATGGGGATCTGGAGATGCCTATAGTCGATATAGCACAGTCTAGGAGAGGCCAATGGGGGAGGGCAGAGTGGGCCTGGGGACCCCCCAAGGACTGGGACCTGCCAAGGACTGGGATGGAAGGTACTTGGAGAAGGCCCAGGCACTTGTGCACCCGTACGTAAGCGTGTGTACCATACACATATACCATCCTGAACCTTTAGCGAAAAGCCCAGGGCAGCCATGTGGATGACACAGGTGCATGCCTGAGAGGCACGTGAGCCCATGTAAGCATGCCTCTACATCCCCGGGCAGGCTGCAGGCACACACCATGTTCTCTGAGAGCCCTTGGAAACTAAGGCAACCCTGGCACTCCATTGCCCTTTGCAGGCTCTGCTCTTTGGATCCACCCCTGAGGGGACATGTGGGGAGCCTGGAAGGGAGCCTGACCCTCACCTGTCATGGATCCCTCCTCACCTGGTGCTTGTAGGGGTGTGTGTAGCTCCCCTCTGAGATAAGCAGAAGACACTGGCCTGAGGGCAGGACCCTGGAACCCAGGCTGCGTCCCTGACTCAAAGCTGTCCCAGGGCTGGCGCCTCCTCCTGGCAGAACCTAGGTGTCTTTGCTGGGGATTGAGGAAGGTCACCTAGTTCCTGGGGGCAGGTGAGGACTCAGAGGGGGCTCCCAGGCCCTCCAGCCTCCTGAGAAGGTGGGGGAGGGTGGGTAGGCCTCCAGCTGTCCTCATGGACTGGTGGCTGCCCCACGAAGCTGGGCTCCTGGGCCAGTGCCTGGCTTAGGGGCTGCATGACCTGCACCGTCTCCTCCAGGCTGCCATTGGGGAACACTATGGAGCGTGCGGCGGCTGGCTGCTGCATCTCCTGCTGGTTCTCTTTGCTGCACTAGATACAAAAGCCGGAATACACCATGAGTCCTGCAAGGATTGCACAAGTCTGAGGGGCAGGCCCCAGCCCTTCATCCTCCTTGCCTTCCCTGCTATCCTGCAGCCACCCAGGGCCCCAGCCTGGCCCACACTCATTGATCAGGACCAGATGAAGAAATGCAGACAGGTCAGGTTGTTCAGCCTCCACATGAGACAGATGTTCAGAAGAGTGCTCAGGACTGGAGTCAAGGGCACCAGGGGGGTCTGAGGGGAAGGGCAGGGCTGAGTTTCAGGAAGGTCTGCAGGCCCAGGACCTGATTTCTCAGGAATTCACAGAGCCTTAATTTACCTCTGCCGATTCTGGAGACAACTGCCCATTCCCCATACAGATGGCTGCCCCAGCCCTGTGACACCCTGGTTCATCCTGCCACAGCAGAGAAGAAGGGGCAAAGGGAGCTGGCTGGGCTGACAGAGAGAGGGTGTTGGCTGGAGGAGGTACCTGGAAAGTGTCCTACTGGTTCTGGTGCTGGTGGCCCCAGGACGAGGAGACTAGGCACAAACACAATAGTGCTGAGTAGGTGCAGCAGGATGTGGCCCCAGCATGGGAGGTGCAGAGCCAAGTCCTCAAAGACCAGTACACAGCCCAGGGTGATGGCCAAGGCCACCATGACACCTACCACCCAGCCACGGCAACTCCAGGGCTGCACCCACCCAAGAAGCCCAGGTAGGGCTTCAGGGCTGGCTGTCACTGCTGGGGCTCAGGAGCTGAGCTCAGTGCCCACCAGCTGGGTGTGATCTTGAAAGAAGTTGTACTTCTTGACCACAGGGCCAGGGCTTCCCTGGCCCAGGGAACTAGACTGAAGGGCCTTCTGGAAGCAAAACTCGATTATGGTGGTGGCCACAAAGGTATAAACCAGCAATGTGACAAAGGACAGAAACTGGACCAGCACCTTGAGGTCCAGCAGCAGTGCCATAAAAGCTATGAGGACCCCAAACACCAGCATGCCCACCATGGGCACCTGCGTCTGGGGGTGCACGTGGGCAAATGCCTGGGAGAAGAGCCTATCAATAGCCATGGCATAGATGATTTGTGGCCCAGATAAGAGGTTGAGGGGTAGGACAGTGTTCATGACTGTGTCAGAGGGTGGGAGACAGGTTAGTATGGTAGACAGGCCCACCAAAGACCTCTACTGACAGCTAGGACATGGGCACTCCCTTGGAATCATGGGTGTGAGTTTGTCTGGGCTATCAGAGTGAGCCTGAGAATATGTGGGGTGCTAAATTGTCACTCCCACTGCCACTCAGGAATGGGACACCCCAGTTTAGGTGACAGGCCCATTGGAGAATTTGAGTCCCTCTGCCAAGAAAGGTTTTGGAAGCACATGCCCGGAACTGATGATATACAACTGGGAGGGAGCAATTAATACGTTCCTTCCAACAAGCCTGAGTGGAGAGGCTAATAATTAACACCTTTCTGAGCCCATTAGGCAACTGGTAACACTGAGGCCCAGATAGAGATGTGTTTTCTGGGAGGGTTAGGGCAGGGCCCCTCTGCTCTGTTCCTTCCCATCTTGTCTGGAAGGGCCCCTTACTGAAGATGGAACCAGCCACCACGATGAAGCCTGCCCAGCTGTAGGCCCACCGGTAGAAGGCATTGGCAAGAATTGAGTCAGGGTCCAGGCTGTGCCAGGGTACCATAAGGGTGAGCACAATAGAGATGAAGATGTAGGCAAGTAGCCACTAGGCCCAGCGAGATGGCAATGGCTATAGGCAGCAATGACATCAAAGCCCACGAAGGCAAAGAAGCAGGTGGCAACGCCAGCCAAGATGCCAAAGAAGCCGAAAGGTGCAAAGCCACCCTCCTCGGGGCTCCAGTTGTGTGGGTGGGCCAGAACACACCAGAGAGGGAGTGGTTGAGCCAGGAGGACATCTAAGCTTGGAACGAGACCAAGGTGGAGGCCAAAAGGATGATGCCAGCAGCCAGGAAGTCTGGGTAGTGGGACTAGGAAGGACACCTGCCAGACGCCCACATGGCTATAGGTAGATGCCTCTGTGAAATTACAGATGTGATGACTGAACATGGAGTCCAGGTAGCGGCTCCAGGCATGGGCCACAGCACACCACTAATGAGGTACTCAAGGAGCACGGTCCAACCAAGAAGGCCCACAGCTCATCTAGATGAACACATAGGCAGAGCCCATGTGGGGCAGGTGGCCCAAACTCTGCATAGCATTGAGCAGCCAGCAGGGATGACACAGCAGCCATGCCAAAGGACACCAGCACAGCAGGGCCAGCCATCTCCTTGACCATGGTACCTGAGAGCATGTAGAGATCCGAGCCCACCATGCCACCCACACCCAGAAAGATCAGGTCCAGTGTGGACAGGCAGTGCCATAGTGATGTCTCCATGGAGGGATCCTCCAGTGGCTTTAGCCAGTTCAACTTCTTGCAGATGTGCACAAGGCCGGTGGTCCTGGGCAGCCCTGGGTCCATGGTGGGCAGCTGAAAGAAGCACCAAGCCAGCTGCCAGCACCTGCCAGTGCCAGAGGGGAATAACAGGCTGCTCAATGGGGTCCTGATCAGCCTTCAGTCCTCACTCTGTCCCCACCATGGGGATCCCAGCACCTGCACCACTGGCCTGCAGGAGGGTCCAGAATGGGACAGAGGTCAGGGCCTGCCAACAGGGTGGGCAGGTCACAGGGAGGCATGGAGACCTCTCCTGCCTCCAGGGCAGGGCAGGGAGCCTGGTGGAACCCGACCTGGCCTATTTTGGGATGGCCCTGAACATGCAGGAAGAGCAGCCCCTGGAAGTACAGCAGGGAACCACTCCATGGAAATCCAAGGCGTCCTGGGAGCTGGGCCAGGCTGTTTTAGGACATGGAACAGGAGTGGCTCTGAGGGTCCTGGGCTTTACCCAGGTCGATACCTGGCCTCAAACAGATGAGGTCATCCCCACTTCCCCTGCTGGGCTGAGAAGTCAAGGGCTACACTTGCCTGAGCCAGGTCTGCTGCACCCTGTCTCCAGGTACCTAAGTCACACCTTTTCTAGAGCCTGAGCAGGTCCCTGCAAAACTGCTGTGCCGCTTCATCCACCGTTCCCTGCTGCTGGTGCTGCCTGTGCATAGGGCCGCCCCACCCCCCTTCCCACCCCCTACCCCCTAGCAACAGATCCACCACTGGACCCCATCTCACTGTCACACATGCACTCAGATAGCCCACTGAACCCCTGCCTCACAAGATGAAGACCAGAGCTCACCAGATCTAGGAAAGCCCCATTACTGTTTGCAGAGGAGGAAGCCAAGGACACAGATAAGTAAGTGACTAGCCAGAGTCATCTGGGTGACCTTGGGAGGCAGGTGAGATTAAGATCTAGGTCTAGGTTCTTTCCTTTCTGCTCTAGGCCTGAGTGGCCGCCTTTGAAATGGGCAAGTTTATGAAACCCGGGAAGGTGGTGCTGGTGGCTGAATGCTACTCTGGACACAAAGTGGTCATCGTGAAGAACATTGACGACAGCACCTCAGACGGCCCCTACAGCCTTGCTCTGGTGGCTGGAATTGACTGCTGTCCCTGCAAAGTGACAGCTGGCCATGGACAAGAAGAAAATTGCCAAGATATCAAAGATCAAGTCTTTTGTGAAAGTTTATAATTACAGTCACTTCATGCCCACAGGGTACTCTGTGAATATCCCCTTGGACAAAACTTGTCAACAAGGACGTCTTCAGAGATCCAGCTCTGAAACACAAGCCCTGATGGGAGGCCAAGGTCAAGTTCGAAGAAAGGTACAAGACTGGCAAGAACAAATGATTCTTCCAGAAGCTGTGGTTTTAGAACTTTTCAGTCATTTAAAAAAGAGAGAGAGAGAGAGATGTAGGTCTGGAGGGGTCAAGAGCCTACCCACTTGCCCCTGCTGCAGACACCCTCCTTGATTCCCACCCCAACACATATACTCCACCATCCAGCCCCGCACCCCCCACTAGAAAAGTGTAGGGGCTGCTAGCATTAGGCAGGTTTCTGTTAAGATGAGAGTATGGTCTGGCTCAGTGGCCCTCGGGTAATCTTTGGTGAGCATCTTTTCATCTGCTTATTTGCCTTTTGGTGGGAGTCTATTCAGCTCTTTTGCCCTTTTTTTGTTTGGTTAATCCTCATCCTAGGATACTTTTTCCATTGATTTCTAGATAGAGTAGAATGGAGGGAGGGAGGGAGAGAGAGAGAAACATCCATGTGAGAGACACATCAATTGGTTGCCTCCCGCATGACCCTGACCAGGGCCAGGGATCAAACCTGCAACCCAGGTGCATGCCCTTGACTGGGAATCAAACCCGAGACCCTTCAGTCCGTGGGCCGACCAATGCTCTAACTGCTGAGCCAAACCAGCCAGGGCTACTTTAGTTTTTTCTTATAGTTTCTATATTTAACTCCTTTTTGACCCTGCCTTCTCTATGAAAATTTCGACTTATTCAGGTTGTGCTTAGAAGAGCCAAGAGAAGGGGCTCTTTACCTCTGTGGGGTAAACTCAGACTCTTCCATGGATCAGCAGCAGGCATGGTGGGAACTTTGAGCCAGAGGTGACTTGAGGGCTTCAGTCACCCTTCCAGAAACCTTGGAAATTCTGTGTGTCCTTTCACCAATGTGTGTGAATGTGTAGGTAATCCTTGGCCTTCTGTAATGACCAGTTGTGGGGTCCCCTCCCCCTCTTCTCCTTGCTGCCATATGCTTCCCCTAAAACGCCAGTTCAACCTGCAGGTGTTGCTGACTGGCTTCTGCCCACCCAAGTCAATCTCCTCTATCTGGCTGTGATTACATCAGCCCCATCCAGAAGCTCCAGTGTCACCCTTTACATGGCAGTCCACAAGCCCAGCCGAATCTCCCTGCCCTCTGACCTCCTGTTCCCATGCCTGCCATGCACACCCCATCCATTCCTTTTTGCTGCTTGGAAAACTCAAGATACTTTCTTTGAGACCCTGCTGAGATGTTCCAAGTCTCGTGGAAGGTAGACTTAACCCCTCCCTCCCTCCTACAGCTTCCTGGCCACTTCCTTCAGGGAGCTTATCCCCTGTGGTCCACATCACATGCTCCTGCAAGAGCCCCAGTACATAGATTGGTCCCCTGACACACCTTGGACTTTAAACTTCATGTCCTGGCCAAGTAGCTAGGTTGGTTAGAGCATCATCCTGATATGCCAAGGTCAGTTTCAATCCCCAGTCAGGGCACATACAAGTATCACCCAATGAATGCTTAAATAAGTGGAACAACATATTGACATTTCTCTCTCTCTCAAATCAATACATAAAAAATAAAAATAAATTCTTACTAGCCTAGGATGTTAGGATGTTACTATTGCTAATATCAGCAATAGTAAAAGGACGCTAACTGAATAGCTCTTACAGGTATTTGCTCTAGCTTAAGTCTGCAAAGGCCTGTCCCAGTTACCAGCCCTCCTAACTTCTGACACCCCTGGACAGATTTGTAGTAAAACTACATTTTACCCATAAACAATTGAGCTCAAGAGGTGTAAAGTACAGTAGAGGGGCCTCCACCCATAACCAAGGGCTCCTCCTTCACGCTGCTGCCGCCCCTCACAGCTGCACAACAGGCATCTGCTCCCCATGGCTGCCGAGGAGTTGCCACTTCCCGCCCAAAATGACGACCAATCAAAAGAGAGATTTTGTAATTCATGAAAATGGCCAATTGCAATCAGGCCCTGTCCTAAGGCCCGTCCCCCACAGCAGTTGGAGCTAATGGCAGTTGGGCAGGTGGCATGTCAATCAGAACTCGGTGCGTGGCGCAAAGGGCGGGCATTTGGAAGCGTGGAGTTAGACTTGGACGGAGTGGAAGTAGGAGCACAGCGTGAGGCCAGGCGGTGACCACCATGGTACAGCGGGCCGTGTAGGCGGGGGGGGGGGGGGGGGGGGGGGGGGGGGGCGGCTAGGCCCAGGTGGCAGTAGGAGGGCAGGAGAGTGTCACCCCTGACCCGATAGCGCTGGGACCCAGGCGCTACCAGGGGTAGTGTCCGGAGCATGTGGGTCAAGGGTGGGCGCCAGACACACGCCGCAGGTACAGTGGCCCTCTGCTCTCACCCTTCCAGACTCTTCCTTTCCGAAGCAACACCATGTTGCTCTTGAACTCTCTCCTGTTCGCCTTTGCTATGCTGTGTGAGCTTCTGAGGGCGCTTACAAAAATAGGCAATATTTACAAGGTACTATTGAAATAAGAAAGATAGAAAATGGTATATGCTGAAAAATCTTGCTTTCTCCGTTAACAGTATTTTTATTTTTGGTTGTTTGTTTTTGCATATAGTTTCTTAAAAACAAAACCAAGCAGCCGTGGGGTTTGGCGCAGCGGTTAGAGTGTTGGCCCGCAGTCCAGAGAGACCAGGGTTCGGTTCCCGCTAAGGGCACGTACCTCGGTTGCAGTTTGTCCCCGGCCCCAGTTGGGGTCGTGTGGGTGGCAGCCGGTTGATGTGTCACTCTCACATCTCACATTGATGTTTCTCTCTCTCTCTTCCTCTCTCTCTCCCTCTCGCTCTATCTGAAGATGAATGCAAAAGTGTCCGGGGTGAGGATTAAAAAAAACACACACACACACACAAAACCAAGCAAACAGGAATAGATAGATCTACTTCCACCCCTCACTTTCTTGCCTCAAAAGTAGTACACAGTATATATACACTCTTGCTCCTTGGTTTTTCATTGTATAAAAAAAATCCAGCGCCCTCCTTATCAGCATATGAAGATCTGCATTGTTGTTTACTGAGGCATAGTATTCCAGTGAGTGGCTGTAGGTTATTCAGCCTGTTTTGTGTCACTGGATAGTTGGATGGTTTCTAGTGTTTTACACATAAAAGTACAGTAAGTAATCTGTGTACTAGCCGTTTCTTACTGGTGCAGGTGTATATGGGATGCCAGAAATGGATGGCTGTGATTTGGTAGATATTGTCAGATTCTTTTCCAAAAGCAATATGTAAGAATTACTGTTTTCCCATAGCACAGTGGGCTTCTGCCTTTATTTTGTTAATTAAAAAAAATTTTTATTTTTAATTCTCACCCGAGGCTATTTTTCTATTTATCTTCAGATAGAGTGGGAGAGAGAGAGAAAAACATTGACATGAGAGAGACACATTGACTGGTTGTCTCCCACATGACCCTGAACAGGGCTGGGGACGAACCACAACCGAGGTCTGTGCCCTTGTCCAGAATGGAACCCACGACTCATTGGTCCGCGGGCTGACGCTCTAACGGCTGAGCAAACAGGTCAGGGCTATTTTGTTAATTTTTATATCCTCGGCTCATAGGTATGTACTAGATACTGTTGAATTAATACATTAATAGTTTACATATCGATGGAACCCAACCAACACCTCCGTCATTGTGCACTTCTAAAACAAGTGGTGCCCGCCCCGGCCGTTTTGGCCCAGCAGTTAGAGCATTGGCCCGTGGACCAGAGAGTCCTGGGTTCGGTTCCCGCTAAGGGCAGGTAACCCCTTTGCAGTTTGT